CAGAATTTTATTCCAGAATGCTGCTGCAAAACAGTCTCTTTCTGGGGCCAGGGACCAGGGATTGAACCCTGTGGTATTCAACTACCGAGCCATGTCCCCAGCCCTTTTAAAATTATTTAGAGATAGGGTCTTGCTTGCTACATTGCCCAGGGCCTTGCCAAGTTGCTGATGGTGGATTTGAACTCAGGATCCTCCTGCCTCAGCCTCCGGAACCACTGGGATTACAGGCATGCAGCTTGTTTTGCACCAAACTGCAAAACAGTCTTTAAATTCTTTCATCTTCCTTCTTTAAATTGTCTCCCTCAAGAGTCAGATTGCCTCAAAAATCATCCCTGTGGTGGTTCATGGCAATCACATGAAATCTGGGTACTGTTGGTACAAAGACATGAGAATTCACTATTCAACAGAGCAGTCATTTGAACCTGAACTGGGTGTATCCGTATCTCCCAGTTTCTAGTTTCCTCCTAATAGGCAAAGCAAACAGAATAGGAGCCACTTCACCCCGTGACACCCAGCTGTGGTGGGAGGTGCCCAGCCAGGGTGTTTTGGTTTCAGGAGTAGAGCAGGAGCCCAGTCTCCGCTGCCCTGTTCTCACCAGGCTGAGCACTGCACAGTGTTATGGCCTTATTTTGTATGCACTTTAAAAGCCTGAGATACCCTGGACTATTTCATCCACTTTCCCTCTGTCTGAGATGCCTCTGATGTCTTTTCTGAATTTCTAGGGTGTTTGGCAGGGATCTGGCTAAAACCAGCACTGTAGAAAGAAGGGAAAGTATCATTTGTATAGTTTAATTCATTTTAGAAAGCTAAAGGAGCGATCACACAGCGCTCTCCCTCTACGCTCATACCACTCACCTCCTTACAGACAAGAACATAGATGCCAGAAACTTTGAAAACTCCTAACTCCTGGGACACATAAAACAAGACTGTACCTTTGCATGAAAAACATGAGGATAACAATCACATGAGTCTTACCCAGTGAAAAACTTTGCTAACACAGTCAGAGAGACATTTCTAGATACCGAAAAGATCCAAGTAGGTGCTTAATAAGTGCCTTTTAATAAATCCGCAGCCTTGATATTAAACTGAGACAAGGCTGTAGGGTGAGGAGTACCTGGTCTGTCCCTGTTCACCTTTACTGGAGAGTGGCTGGGCTTTTCACTGGCAACTGCACCTACCAAGTGTTGACTTAATATAGTCCTACTTATGGGAGGCTTTTTCCTGGCTTTAGGAAAGGGAGTCCAAAGACAATTGAAATTCAGTTGTTCAGGCCTTTGTGAGGCTCTGATGGAGGGGTAGGGCCCATCCCTGCCCCCAGAGAGGTGATACCCTAAAGAGGTGAAATCCTACAGCTTTTGGCTATAGGACAGTTTCAAATAGTAGTTGACTATCATGAATATATACTGTGGTGACAAATGCTATGAATTTCCTGGATTCAGTGAGATAGTGACACCTTTACTCTCCTCTTTGGTGGTATGTTGAGTGCTTTGATGCCATTGTGACAGGTCAAGACCTTGAAACCCCCAAACGCTTGGAAATTTGCTTGAAATCTGGAAACACCCAAGGTCACACCTGAAATGCAGGGGCTTGAGGTGGTAAGGGTGTGAATTAGGGCCAGCGTGGCCACACTGTGACATGAGGTGTTGGCGCCCCTCACCTTCCTCACAGGTTTGGTTCTGGGGTAAGAGGCACTATGGCCTGACCCTCCTGTCAGACATGGACAGTAAGGGTGGGATTCATTCATCCTGACCAAAGAAGGAAAAAGGATGTTTTCAATTAAATCTCTGAAGGTATTTTTAGGAAGTGACCCTCCTGAGTGGCAATAGACTTCTGACTCATCCTTACAGACACCATATCTTTGTATAGATGTGGAAGGATCCAGAAAGAGGGAGTATAGGCAGCTGGTCTGAATCCACTTTGGTGACTGACTGGCAGAGGCAAAGCAGGATCCAGAGTCTGAAACGTCAGACGCTGATCTCTGGTGAATGCACCTGTGAAACAAAGCGGGGTCACACTGCCCACTTGAAGAGCCAGCTCACCCTACCCTAAGCCGCACCTTCTGGGCGGTCCTGTGTTTCCCCACCAGGAGCATCACCAGGCTCCATGGTCCTGATTTGCAGCGTCCGTCGTCAGCTGGTCCCTCACTGCGCTGAGCTATGACTGGGGCCTGAGTTGTTGGAAAGGGAGGCGATGTCAGCCCGTCGCAAAGCATGTTGCATTCATGCCAGCTTCACACTGTCCTCTGTGAGCCGCACTTCAGGACTGCTTCAACTGAGGCCTTGAAGACAGTGTTGCTGGTGGAGGCTGAACACATTCCTAATGGGACACCACGAGTGGCCTCTCACTTACTGTGCAGAGTCCCTTTGGCCAGGGCCTCCCGGGGAGCACTGGGGAGGATGCAGCAGCCTCACGGCTTACTGCAGACCCAGGCAGGCAGAAGCCATCAGACACAGGCAGGCTGTGGTGGCACCAAGCACTCCTCCAGCCAGTCCGCAGTCCCTTGGGACACCTGCTGACCAACCAGCTGACCAGCACATTGCTCCCTCCATTCATCTCAGCGCACGTGGGAGGTTTACACAGCAGGAGCGCGCTGGACTCCCTCCAGCCTTGAGCAGGAGCCAGGGGCCTCAGGCTGCAGAGGTCTCACTGGTCGCTGCTTTTGCTTGTGATGGGGCACCTGTGGGTGTTGGGGTAGGGCGGGGGTGTGTTTGGGGGACATAGGTCACCAACTTAATGAATGGGAGGATGGCACATTTTCAGCATCCCCTGGTAAGTCCTGCAGGTTTTTGAGCAGTGGTGATGTGGACGCAGCCTCCCCGCCCTTCACGGCTGCCTTGATGCAGCAGGACTCTTCACGTGCCTCTCTGTGCCCCGGCAGTGACCCAGGAAGTAGGCGCCACTCCCACTGTACGAATGGTAGGTGGGCTGTGAGAGGCAGGGAGGCTTGCTGGAGGCTTGCAGTGACCCCAGCAAGGCAAATCACTGGGAGATGTAACTGGAATATCATGGGCACTGCAAAGGGTCCCTCTGACTGCCTCACTCTGGTCCTCAGTGGAGGATGGCCCTAAAATCCAGGGGCAGGCCTGCCACGGCACTCAGACAGGAGTGCACACACCTGAGCGCCTCACAGGTCTCACCCACCTAGGGGAAGCATCCCTGGGGGCTCACCTGCGGGTCCTTGTGCAGGGGAGCTACTGTGCTGGGCGCACACAGGGAGTCAGCAAGCGTGGGTCTCCCCCAAGTAGGTCGGGATGAGCTCCTTTCTTCATCTGTGAAGTCACTTGTGTGAATAATCACCAGGCTCCGCCCATATTGTCTTGTAGGCAGAAAGCGCTCTAGACCTCGCTTGTAACTCGGTTCCTCTAGGTCAGTGGTGCTTGGAAAGTGCTTAGTGACTCGATGAGCAAATATCTGAAGTGTGACTCTGAATAGGCTGAGCCTTTGGTGGGATGTTTGGCCAGCTCTGGTGTGGACCAGTTCATCTCTTCTGCAACCACAGCAAAACAGTAGGTCCTTTACATGGGAAAGACGTCTGTTTCATTCATGCTCCTAAGTGCCTGTCAATTCAATCGCCATTGGCATCTCAGCGTAGAAGGACGTACATGTTTCAGTTGTTCCCCTTCTGAAATGTCACTGCTTCATGTTCCCCTGGCGTGTCTGTCCTCTGTTGGCTGATTGGTCTGCAGAAGTCCTCCCCATTGGCCAGCACTCCCAGACCACTCAGTTTGCTGAAGAGCAGAACCTTTTAGTGGTGTAAATTGGTATCCAGTTGGGAGCCAAGATGGAAGACAGAAGCCCAGAATGTTCTGGTCCATGGGAGCTGCTCTATGGAGCACCAGGCTCCTTGGCTGCTAGGAAGGGGTAAGGTATATCTTCATAATGACCCTGCTCTTTCTTGCTAACAGTGAGGCCATTTCCCAGATCACTAAAGAATGCCCAGGCTTTTGTTGTTTTTTTCATGTTCGATTTCTTTTTTGTGGGGAGCCAGGGGGGACTGGGGACTGGGGATTGAACTCGGGGGCACTCTGCCACTAAGCCACATCCCCAGCCCTATTTTGTATTTTATTTAAAGACAGGGTCTCACTGAGTTGCTTAGCACCTCCCTGTTGCTGAGGCTGGGTTTGAACTCATGATTCTCCCTCTGGAACCACTGGGATTATAGGCGTGCCCAGCGCATGTTCAGTTTCAAGATCAGCTTTTTCTAGGAGTTGGGCAGCTCCTTAAGATTCACACAGTGGACTCCATTTCAGCAAGACAGAAAACCAGAGCTGCCTTCTGGAAGACCTTTGCTGTTTAGGGATGTGTCTGCTAGTCCCCACATCCTGCCATCTCTGTCCTCAGAGAGGCTCTCTGTCACTGTTGGCATAGCCACCTAAGTGATCTGTGTGCCTGCAGGTGCCGCCTCACCCCAAGCTTCCTGGCAACCCTCTGCTGTGAGCATGACCCCTGCCAGGGCAGAGGCAGAATGGGAGGCAGAGCAGTCAGTGTAAACACACACCACAGGTGACCCAGACAAACACTTTAATTTTTTTTTTTTTTTTGGAGGCATAATTTAGTCATCTTACCTAAAGCACTTTTCACTGTCTCTGGCAATCAAAGGTTACAAAAGACTCAGCTCAGCACCAGAGGATGACAGGGGGACTCACCCCTCTGTCCCCAGCCCTGCTCCCCCCTGCAGCCTCCAAGACCCTTTGCATTGTCACAGAGGCAGGCCCACACGCAACTGCACAGCCACTCTCTCCCTCCCTGTCTCTCAAAACCACACACACACACACACACACACACACACACACACGCGCGCACGCGCGCGCGCTAGAGAGTGAAAAGAAAACCAAACCCACTAAATCACACGGGGAAAAAAGGATTTAAGAGCATCATCTTCCCCCTCTGCCTCCGAGACCGAGCTCCGTGTCTGGGGAGGCCTTGATGTGTGCTCGTGCCGGCAGGGGCTCACCCAGCCTCCATCATCATGTCCCACTAAGAAGGCTGTGCAGAGGCCACCAGTTCCCCAAGGTTCCCTTTGGAGGTGACACATCCCTGAGTTAGTCACTCTGCTTCTGTTTGTTGTCGATGTTGCCATAGGCAGAGCCCTTGTCGATTTCTGTCACACCAATCATCCATCGAACTCCCATGGAAGCTGCAGAGACAGGGCAGGAGCAGAGATTAGCAGGAGGACAGACTGCAGGGAAGTTTGCCTCGCGAGAACCTGCGGAAGGCAGGTGGGTGCAAATCCCAAGCATCAGTGAGAGCTGGCAGATTTAAGGTGCCTTTTCATGACCCCAGCTTTAGAGTCAATCTAAGATGTCAGTCTACGTGACACTGAAGGGAACCGAGTAGGGCTGCTCGGTTGGGTTTTCATTCTTGTGTACTGGAAGTGAACAGCTGTTTGTGGGGCCCACAGAATTCTCAGCTTTCCATGCTGATCCCCATGGCAGAGAGGGTTCTTTTGCCAAGGCAGGGTAGGAGCTCACGGGACCTCAGCAAAGGAGCCTGGAAAATGCAGGGCTCCAACATCTGAAGCACCCAAGTGCAGCATGCCTGGGCGAGTATTGGAGCGGTGAGTGACGCCCCTGCCCTGGCTGAGAGCCTTCACACCTGTGGGTGGGAACTGTAACGACCTCTGCAGGACCCAGGCCCGAGCCCAGTTAGCCACCAGGAGGCTGGCAAACAGGGCTGCTGCTCAGAAGTGGCCGTTAAGTTGTTCCCTCTGGAGAGGGCAGACTTCCAGAGGTCCTTGGTACAAGGACCACACCTCGGTCACCTTGATGTGCCCCCCATCACAGGGCCAGGCAAACACTGTGTGTGATCATCATTCATGAACCAACAGGGGAGTGAACAGAGTCTCCCAGAGCAGTGGCACCAAGCTCTGTAGACTTCCTCAGCCATGGATGGGGCAGAGGCCACAGCCCTCTTGGGGTGGGACACGTATCCCATAGGTCATTTAGAAGTGAGGAGACTTCTGCTTGAGGCCACCTCTCGAGAAGCTGAGACTCGAACCCTGGCCTGGTCCTAGAACTCACATAGAATTACTCAATGCTACTGTAAAGTAGAAAGGGGGAGCACAACACGGTCTCTGCTCAGAGGCCTGTGAGGAGGAGAGGAGCAACACAGTGCCCCCCAGGGCGTGGCCTGTGGATTGGCAGCCGCAGTGCCTCGAGGGCAGTGTGCAGCCTCACAGGCCCCTCAGCCTGGCTCCACCCTCCCACTGCCAGGTGCTGTCGCCCCAGCAGAGCAGCACCACTGCCTCCACTTGGAAGCCTCTTGCTCTCCACTTACCCATGCAGAAGACGAGGATGAAGGTGGCCAGCGTCACAGAAGAGCCACTGCTGACCATGCTGACCAGGAACTGGAAGAAAGGGTAAAGCAACAGCGAGGCCCAGAACAGCCAGTTGAGCAGGGCCCAGGGCCGCCGCGGGGGGACCCGGGGGGTCTCTGGGAAGACACCTGTCCTGTAGTACTCCTCCTGAAAAGCATCCTGGGGATAGAGGAAGGGACCCTCTGATACAGCACTGGACTCGGCTGAGCTGGCCTGCCCAGACCCACCCAGGACGCACACCACACTGACATTCTGGCCTCTCCACACAGGACCTGCAGACTCCACATGCAGTCCACCAGCACCAACACCCTGTCTGTGCCCTGCAGCTTCCCAGGGGCTGGGACTTGAAGACCACACAGATGACAGAGGGCCTTGAAGCCTGTAGGTGCCACTCACAGGAGGTGATGGAACACAGGTGTACTTCTTCCGTGAGAGCAAATTAGGGATTGCCCCTTCTCAGTTATGTCTTGGGAAGAAAAAGATAGTGGAAGCTAAGGTCCTGCTCAGAGGAAGGAAGGACAAGTCAGGAGCCCAGCAGCTGACCACAGATGGCAAGGAGGAGGGGCTCCTGCAGGTCTGAACAGCCATGGCAAAGCCACCCTCAGGGACTATATCCTGCTTATGCTGGTGATGTTCTGGATTAGGCAGGCAACCAGATTGTTGACCCAGAAGCACTTTAGACTGCATCCATTGCCAAAGATAACTGCAGCATCTTACAGGAATATTCTGCCCCAGGGCCACAGCCAGGAACCAGCAAGGGCTGTGGGGCCTACCTCGTCCTGGCCACTACACCCATAGACGGCTTCATTCTCTCTGTGAAGCCCCTTAAAGACATTTCACTTGTTTTCCCCTCACCTTCTCCTGGTAGAGCTTGTGGAGCCAGGCCGAGCACTTGTCCTCGTCTTCGGGGATGTCTTCCATTGGAATCCGCCTGCAAGGGCAGAGAGCAGCCAGTGGTGGGAGGCCACACCCGGTGCCAGCAGCACTTTCAGCATAACAGTGCCTGCTCTCGGGGCTTTCATTCAGGTGGCCTACACAGTGTGGAAGCAAAAAGGAGTACTTCCATGGAAGCCAAAGTGTCGTCGTGGCCCAAGCAGGATGGAGCAAGGACCTGATTTGATGACACAAAGATGGTGAGACGCGGGGACACCTGCCCTTTTCTCTTTTCCCTCCTGCCTAACAGGAAGGCTCCCCGAATCTGACACTTGCCTTAGTCTCCATGAAAGATGATCCAACACATACAGAATCTACATGTAGGAGATAATACGCCAGTCATTTTTTCAGCCAAGTAACGACTTCACGGCAACGGCCAGATACCTCCCATCAAGTGATCTGACCTGGTAGCACCAAGGCAGGCCCCTGCCAGAGTGTCACTACATGAAAGGACCTGGATGGGAGAAACCAGGGCATCTGCCCCTCTGGACTCAGGGATCCCTGTGTCACTTTGCACCCCAGTGTTTACTCACAGGTTCAAGGGTGGCCCTGGAGCCATTGCTAGTAGGGGCATGAGGATCATTCTGCAGACAGCCCATCAAGAACAAGGGGAGATGCCACTTTGCTCTGACTCCTGTTCCATGTCTGTCTGTCCCTTTCTGTCTCTTGCTTGCTCGCTTTCTCTTCTGAGGCTGCTGGCTCTGGTGACTTCAAGGACTGAATTTACACTTGCTTTTGTCCTTGAGAAAGGACAAAAGGCTCGTTTCACTTCTCACTGCTCAGGAATATCTTAGGAAGAAGAGACACTTCAGAACTTCTTTGCCAAGGTGTAGCTGTTCAGAGAATGGAGGCTGGGATTTCACCTCATAAGAGATGACGGGAGCCACCGCTGTTAGAGTAAGGGCTTCCTTCTCAGGCAGAATTCTACAGAGGTAAGCTTTTAACATAATTAAGACTTACCCTGCAAGTTTCTCTGGAAATATTCTTTCCCCTTTCCTGTCCCTACATCTCTTTCCATGGATACACCATTTCTTTCTTTGCTCTTCTGATCTGCCCTCGTTTGCAGATCAGATCTTTCAGTGTGGTTCATGAGGAGGTTAGAGATGCTGCCTGCAAACTATTTCTTTACTTGCACCAAGGAGCTCGGATGGTTCTGCTCTTTTCAGTAATGTCCTTGGCACTGTTTTCATGCTTCACACTGAGGTGCGGTGTACCTCAGAGCAAGGCCTCAGCCATCCCAACTGGGTCACTACAAGGAGAGAGGTGCATTGAGTAGCCAAAGGAACCTTCCTGGGGGCTGGGGAGATAACTCAGTGGTAGAGTGCCTGCCTTGTATGCATGGGGCTCTGGGTTCGAGTCTCCAGTACATTATAAAATCTCTTGGGAGGCCATGAGTGAACTTGACAACGAGACGGGAGCCAGTTTTGGGGTGTGTGCTCTGATTGCCACATGCTCTGGAGAGTTGCAGTGACCTAGGAAAACAGCCTCATGGGCCTGCATTCCCAGTGGTCCGGCTGGCTACTACGTGGAGCTCCTGCCAAGTGTTGAAGGAACTTGGGAGAGAAAAGCGCATTTTGTCCCTGAAGAAGACCCCCTTAGGGAGGGTGGGGATTCCCAGCCTTCTCTGGCAGCAGCTGAGTGAAAGACAGTGGCCACCCCACCATTTGGAATATCTCAGAATGCTGCTCTCTACTGCCTCTAAGGATCTGGGCTCGATTCCAGGCAGGGAGTGGCTTTGGACTTCAGCGGTCAGCCCACCAGCACATCTCCTCAGGAATGTTCAAACATCATGTTGAGCCTAGTGAGTATGGTCAGCCACTGGCGTTTTGTTGAGCCGTGCTGTAGCTTGGCATCAGTAGAGTCTTGAATGGGAAAATACGTACCACTTGCCTGTGTCTCTGCTGGTGGGCATTTCAGGGGCTACTGGTCAGACTTTGGAGGAGATGACCCACAGCACAGGAGACCAGGCCAACCCCACCAGAGTCAGATTGGAGTTAATGAGTAAGTCACTGACCTAAGGCAAATCACCCTTGCGTTTTACCATCTGCAGCTTCTCTAAATTCTTCCTGCTCACCTTGGTGACATTCTGGAGATTAGACAGTAAGCCCATTGTATTAGTCAATGGACAGGTGAAGAGAATTGGCCTAGGGAGGGTTTTCCCTAGTCATGACTAACTGGAGAGTAACTCATGTGAGGTCTTGCAGGAGTGTTCTGCACCTCTACATCTCCTGGGTGCTGTTACTCGTGTGTATTTGCACAGGGCAGATCCATCTTCCAAGAAAAGGGTCAATAAAACAATTGCTTTACACTCAATATCTAAATGATTGATTATGAAATATGGTCTGCCCTTTCACCAGCCATGGCTCTGGCATGAAAATGAGTTGGTATAAGAGGATCAAGAAGTAGCTGGGAGGGAAAGAGGCTTCCCCAGGTTAGATTGTTCCAAATAGTAGAAAGTGACTCGAGTTCATAACATAAATATAGACTATAAATGAGTTCAGGGTAAAACAGACTGAATGCAAGATGTTAACCAGATGTCCCTAGAAGAAGGTCTCTCGGTCATTTGTGACTTATTTACTTAGCAACGAGCTTTCTCTTTTCTGAAAAGGAAAGAGGCAGCTTACCTGACATAGCAATCGGCATGATATTTCTTTCCATTTAGGACTCCCAGCAGTGTTGGGTTTTCATTATTTCTGAAATTGAGTGTACAGTCATATACAGCTGGGACTATAAAAATAAGACAAACACAGAGCAGTATATAGCGGGTGGACCCGTTTCTGTTTTGCAGACACACATTCGAAGACATAACATCGCTAACTGGTTGTCTACGAATGGCACAATCAGATTTCCTTGTGCTTTTTCTATGTTGTTCAAATGTTCTACACCAAATATGTAATCAGGAAACCCCATTATAGTATAGTAATAGAAAACAGAGTAATTGCTGAGGTCAGATCAATTTTAAAATCGTAGCAATGCTACAATATTAGATCTAGATGTGTGATAACAATGATTGGCATCTTTCTAATATGCATGACCTGTTGTGCTCACAAATGCCCATATTTACACAAATAGGGGCAGAAGACAAGTTAATGGGAAGCATATTAAACACCTAAGCATGTCTGTTTCCTGGGAGCATTTTTTCCCCTAGAACAACAATGAGACAGCTACAAACCTACCATAAGATACTGACTGGAAGTCCTTCAGGAATTGAATCAGAGTCAGTTACAACATGGCCAAGAAATTATGCATGATGTTAATGGTCCACTCCGTGGTGAGGGACCCTGTCAGCACATTGGACTTAATGTGAAAAGTTGTGGTTGTAGTCCCCAGACTGCCCCTGCTCAGAAAGCTCTGGTTCTCAGGATGGAAGATGGCGAGAATGAACCAGTAAGTGATGGAAATGCCTGGTGGAAACGTGGACTCTTGTGGTGTGTGGGACAGGCATGGACAGTGGAAGGAACAGGGATTTGTGTCAGACTGGACATGAATCCCAGGGCCACCTTTCTCAGTGGGGTGGTGTTTGCTTGGACAGGTGTCTCAGCCCTCCAAGCCTAGTTCTGGAGGATGTAGTCCTTCTGATGCCTTTGTCACTGTGGCTGAAATGACAATCAGGTACTGGCTGCAGGTCCAGCACCTTGTACTCACCACATTATGAGCCTGGCCCTTCATTGAGAACTCTACATGTACCATTGCTATCAAGAAAAGGAATAGAAAATACTAGGAAGCTTCAAAAGTTCTTCATCTAGTTGGGAAAGTGGGGAACCCAGATTTGAAAATGATAAAATCACTATCATGTTTTCTCTACCTGTTGCCTGACCCCCCCTGCAGGTGCTGCAGGCCCACCATCTTTGGCAGGGGGAGAGGGTCCCTCCTGCTGGCCTGCAAGAGTGCCTGGGAGCAGGGCCCCCAAAGTGAACTGCACCACAGAAAACAGCTGGTCCAGCCAGGCACTGAATCACCTGCAATCCCAACATCTCATGAGGGTGAGGCAAGAGGATCGTGAGTTCAAAGCCAGCTTCAGCAACTTAGCAAGTCTCTAAGCAACTTAGCGGGACCCTGATTCTAAATAAAATATAAAAAAGGGCTGGAGATGTGGCTCCGTGGTTAAGCGCCCCTGGGTTCAATCCTTGCCACCAAAAAAGAAAACAGCTTGTCCTCCATATCCTCAGCATCCAGCTAAATCCTGAGGCTGGCCTGGGCAACAGTTCGGGGTCTCTTGCTCTTTGTCTCATGAGGAGGAGAGGAGAGATGAGGACAAGGCCACAGGAAACCAGCAACATGAGGCCCGAAGCCATGAAGTGGCTCTGGTGACAAAGGGCCCAGCCTTGCCCTCCTCTCTCCACAGGATGGACCCCAGCCTTTCCTGGGTGTACCTGGCATGTGACACCCAAGGAAGGTCTGCCCAGCCAACGGAGCTGCCCCCGAGACCCAAAGCTGTGTCGTGGCCCATCCAACCAGAAGGCAGTGAGGCCTCCTTCAGAGCCCAGGGACCAGGGATTCGGGAGCCGGGAAGCCACATGAGTTATCAGGGAAGAGTGTTTTAAACTGCAAAGAAGACTAGAGGTCAGAAACCTGTTGTTGGTTTCCTTGTTTCTTCTACCTAACAATAATTCAAGGCTTGGAACTCACAGGTCAGCTGCCAGACACAGGTGGTTCATCATCTGCAGTGCCAACAGATCGGCAGGAAATACCCCAGACCAACAGGGCTCACTTGGGTCTGTAGCCAGGGGCCCCTGCAGGATCCAGCACATTCCACACAGTCACACGGTAGTGCCACTGCTGAGCAGCAGAGGGCAGTGTTTGCGGGGATGCACTAAGGAGAGGTGCCCAGCAGGTTCTGAATCCCTCAGAGACCCTAATTTAGCCGTCACTCCTGCTGCCAGCCACATGCCAGCTCCAAGGCATCACCAGGGAACGGCACTGCAGATCACAGGCTGTGGACGCCCTGTGCTGGCAGGAGTGGCGGTGCTGCAGAGGCCGCCTCCTTACCTACATCCCTCAAGCACCTCACGGTGATGGCGAAGCCCTTGGTGCGTGGCAGCAGGTGGTGTTTGAGGCTGGGCAACCCCTTGGCTTGGGCCACCTGCATGCTGATCTGGTGTTTCTTCTCTGTGAACCGTGTGCCCTCGCAGTGGATCAGGAACTGGAAGGTAGAGGAGGGACTGTCACACAGGACCCTACGGGTCCACAGTGTTCCATGGTCACACACAATCCTAGATCACACGAGGTTGTCAAGTCACACGTCCTGAGATCATACACAACCCTGCAGTCACACCGCCTTGTGGTCACACACCACCCCAGGTCGCATGCAATTCTGTGTTCACCCATGGATCCGAAGTGACACAGAGTTGTGGCCACAAAAGGACCTGCAGGGATTGGCAAGACGTGCTGCTCCCACGTACAAGATACTTCTCGGGGTAATCCCGGAGGTGCAGCAGGCTCCTGGCGACTGTCTCACGATCTTGCTCCCACTTGCGTGTGCAGAAGATCATTTCCGTGAAGTACCACATCCAGCCAATGATTGGGACGTAAGACAGCTCCTTCTTGGCCAGGACCTTGGAGTTCTGAAACAGGAAGCAGCACAGGGTGTCCATAAAGGAGAAGACGGGGGGGCGGGGATCACCCCTTATGGCTCTTGGAGGTGTTAGTGGGAAAGGAGAAGTGTTCACACGGGAAGCCGCACTGCGTTCCAGAACACCCTGTGGCCAAAGCTGGTGGCCCTGGAGCCCTTCCCACTGTGTCAACGGGAGGTCGAGGCCACTCACTGTTGGGGGGACAGGGAGGGGGGCTGGGTGCGTGCTGCAGGCAAGGCAAGCCAGAGTCGTTACAGATGAGGAAGTGGAGCCCAGAGGGGTTCTCGGGCACAGGCCCTTGGTGGAGCTAAGTCCATCAGACCAGCAGGTGCGCGGGCTCTCTGCCAGCTGCTTGCTGTCATCTCTGGGGCAGTGCCTGAGTGCCCGCACAGACCTTCCTGAGGCGGTGCAGGGTGCGGCAGCCTGGCCCACCAATAGGTTGGCATCCCAGCCACCGAGCCCCAAGGGCTGCCGGGGCTGGCCCCAACCAGCTGTGCCCAGAACCCACAGGCCCTCTCCAGGCTGGGGAGCACCAGGGTTTCCAAGGGTACCAGGGAGGGGACACAGAACAACTGGCCAGGATGCTCCTCCCTCAAGCTGGGGCGGTCTCAGGTCCCAGGGGAGTCAGGCTGAGCTGCTCCTGACGGCTGCCTGGTTGAGCCCTAAACCTGAGCCACCCAGGGCCAACGCGAAGACGCCCCCACACGGTCCTTCCTTCCCCCACTCCCACTTTCTACCTTGTTTAAAAAGCAAACTTGGCCCTCCCTGTGGGGAAGGGGAGCACGAACACATTTTGATGTGCTTTTTGTTTTGGACATGGAAATTCCCTCAAAGAGAACCTAGCCGTGCAACCTGAAGCTGGCTGGCCACCGCCGACTCGGAGGTGAGTGCTGGCAGTGTGGACACTCTCCAGCGGGAGCGATGGCTGCCCTTTGCCCACCCAAGGCCACACACTTTGTATGAGTTCTGTGTGATTCTAAACCCACGGGAATGTCCCGCACTTTACAAACCAAGGCTCAGAGACATGAAGTGACTTGCTTAGCACCACACATCACGTGGCGAATGGCTGGGGAGGCCGAGTGTGTTGGCCAGTCTCCTTCTGAGGCTGAAGTCAGTGGGGCACAGGAGCAGACACGTGGGCCACCTTCCCAGTAGCCGTGCCCTCCTCCTTTTGCACCCAGACTCCCTTCTGTTCTAAGGACCCTTGGCACAGGGTCTGAGTGACAGGAGCCCCGCTCCATCTGTGTGGCTTTGGTCAAGAAACAACTTTTCTGAGCTTCGGGTTTCTCAGCTCTGCCATAAGGAAATGGATACTAATCAATTTCACAGGGTTCCCACAAAGGTCGAGTAGCCCGTTACTTATAAGTGCACCAATAAAAATGTGGGGGAAAGGGCTGGACAGCATATGGAAACCCAGAGAAGCAGAGTCTGGGATTTCCACAAGTAGTGAAGGGTGTGGCCCTTATCATTGTCCCAGGCCTAGCACAGAGCCAGGGTCTCTTCATTCAGCCCATTTTCTAAACCCAATGTTAGCATCACAATGATAAATAAGTCATATTTATCCCAGCATTAACCAATGGGCTCTGTGCTAACAGACTTATGTGACTAACTAATTTATTACTAACAGACTAGAAGTTATGGTCCCCAGAAACAAATTATAAACATCAGGACGCTCTCAGGCCCATCAAGGTTTCTGTGTGTGGGTGGCAACAGCCTTAAGGAATTTCCAAGAAAACATACACTGACTCCAGATTGAGCTTGAAGGTAGACCTGACAGGCTCTTCTGATGAGTTAGTTATGTACAGACCCATCCAGATGCAGCATGTCTTGAAAATCTGAATTTCTTAGGTAGTACAGGGTACTCCACAACCTATGGGGCTGAAGTGTCCTGCCCTGCCATTTTCTACTGGTATAGGGTCACCTCGTCATCATACATTCTACAGCTAAAAGTCTACAAAACTCGTGTGTGTGTATGAGAGGGTATGTGGGGTGGTGAGGGGTGCAGCTCTCCTTCTCATCCCATGAGGCAGCCAAAGTCAGGACCACTACCACCCAGGGACACAACCATCCCATGAGCCCAGAAGGCAGTACCTTGGCCAAGGGGGCCACCAGTACAGAGACCCGTGGTAGTAGAAAGATCCACTCTGCCTCTCATGGATCCAGTGCCTTCCAGGCCTGAGATTGGGTGGCTGCCACCTCACTTGTGCCGTGAAGAATGATCCTCTTGTGTCCCTTCTCGTTACCCTTACTTCAGCATTGCTCTGTGAGTGCTAGTCAAGGTCTCCCCCAGCACGGCAGCCTGCCACGGGCTAGCTTGAAAACCCCCAGTGCCTGTGCTGGATTTAAGGTTCTCGAAAAACCGTCAGCACCTTGCCCAGCCACATTCCTGTGATGCCCCACAACCTCTGACCCTCCGTGGGGACCTGCAGAGAGCCTGGTCAGGGGTGAAGACCACTCAGAGAGATGAAGGCATCGTTAGATAAATCTTTCAAACACAGGACCGTTCCCACAGGTTTATCAGTTTGGCTACCAGTCAGTCATTTGTTTAACCCGTGGTCATTTATTTCTTCTACATATATAAACTGGGGCCTCGTAAGTAGAAATTCAAAAACCAGTGAGACGTTTGTAAAAAGAAAAAAAAAAGCTAGTTGGAATGTTCACACTTCAACACTTTGATGTTTTTCTTGACCATGAACTGGAGAAAGCAGCCAACTGAAGTCTGGTGGAGTCCAGGCGAGAGCCTAGTGGGCAAGGAAGAGCAAAGCGGGCAGTTTCTGTTCTGTCTCTGCCACTGACTCTGCAAGGAAGTTGTTGAGCGGAGCCTCTCTTCAGCAAGGCTCATGCCTGCAGAGGACTGGCTGTGGCCAGGCCAGTCGTGAACTCTCAGTCCCTACCAGAGTCATGCACAGGAAAGAGAGCGGAGCTCAAGATGATGCACCAGGAGAGAGAGAGAGAGAGAGAGACAGTGTGTGTGTGTGTGAGAGAGAGAGAGAGTGAGAATGTGGGTGTGAGTGCGTGTACACCGAAAGGTGAGAGTCTCCATTTGTACAAACTCGAGTGCCACAAATGGGGCCCAGTCTTGCGTACGCTCATTCCTTTCTTTGCTTTCTACATTCTTGATGCCTGGAGGAAAATGCCGTGGACTGTACTCTACCAGAGAATTCTCCAGAGAGTCGCTAAACAAAATGAACTCTGTTTCACAATTAGTCACAGCCCTGGGGGAAATGCGCAAACCACACCTGAAGCAAAAAACGCTCTCTAAGAATTCATTTCTCGTAGACTAGAAATAAGTACGTGTGGTCCCCAAAGCCCAGCCCACCGCCCGCAGCTCTCGGCCTTCGGACAACATCTTCACCTGCAGCCCCCAGTCGACATCCCTCCCCTTGCCAAGCCCAGGTGGTATGTTCACAGCTGGGCAGGTGTGCAGGTGTGCCTGGGGACAGGAGCAGCCTTTGGGGGCCAGTCAGGGAGCGCAGTCCAGCAGGACATTTATCACCACTGACCCTGCTCCAAGGGGTCATGGTGATCAGGACAGAATGGAAGAGAGAGGAGGTCCCTGCACACGGCTCTGGGCTGTCCTTCCTGGATACAGGTCCTCATGCCCCTCTCAGTTCCTATTCCAAACAGCTGGCACAGGGCCTTCCTGGGGTGGCTCTAGGCCTGAGCAGCTGGGAAGACAAGAAGGCATAAGAGGGCAGGTGGCACAACAGGACTCCCAGGGGCAGGTCGTGGGGGCAGTTTGCCCTGTGTGCAGTCCCATCTAAGCAGCAGGCATTTGCCCCACAGTCGCAGGCATGTGGGTGGCAGGCGACAGGGCCCTGAGCCAGCACGGGGGGCAGGGCAGACAGAACTGTGAGCAGCATCCCAGAGCAGACCATGTGGCTGGCACAGTACATTGTGCCCCAGGGGACCAGGCCACCCGGCCAGCGCTGCCGCCAGCCTCCTTTACAACTGGACGCTCGTTAAGACATTGCCAGAGAATTCCAGTCAATGAAAGAGGGGCCTTGCCACGTCTACCGAGGGCAGCCAGAGTCGGCTGGTGTGCCCGGGACCACTCGTCAGCTCACGAGCGGGGGCTCTCCTGAGCTGCCACTCCTCTCCTGGCTGGTAACTCACCTGGTCACCTTATTGTCACTATCCTCTCAGGTTCCTTCTCCGTGCCACACCTGGCCCAGGAGGTGAACGTGAGGGCAGACGCAGCAGCCTGCCCACTCCCTCGGTCCCCACGGGGCCTGCCTGGTGCTGCAGACAGGGTGGACGAATCCCAGCCCAGATGTTCCATAAGAACGGGGTTTCATCCGCACAGGGATCTCGCACAGAACATCTGGGTAAATCCCAGGTAGCAAAAAGCTCTGTCCTCAACTTTATCTGGCTTTTCAAAAATAGGGAAATGGCCACAAAGGGACCAGTGGCGTCCCTCCCTGGGCACCTTTGCTGTCTCCCATGAGCTGGTAGACACTAGGCGTTAGACTAGTGCTAACATAGTGACATTCCTCCCTACACACTGTCCCAGATAGCACTGCCCGCACGCCAGCCTCCCCTTCCATCCCTCCTGTGTCCTCTCTTTGCCACAGTGGGCCCAGCTCCTCCCCCGGACTCCGACAGCACCAAGGTTAACACCCACAACCTCCCGGGGCACTCCTGGGGTGCTCCAGGGCACTGCCCTGTAGGGAACAGGTTGAGTACCAGCCTGGCCACCTGCATCCTGCCGCCCCAGGTGAGCATGTCCTGTTGCCCTCAGATCACGTGGCCTCACAGGAAAGCCATGCACACTGTCCCTTCACCTCCCTTCATACAGCACGGGTCCTTGGCGACACCTTATCTTTCAACCCACAGCACCCAGCACAGTGTCTTCAAGGGCTCACACCCACAGTACACAACTCCTTGGACACATACTGTGAAAATATGTGGCTTGTTGCCATCATTAAGAATCTTATTTAAGGGGGCTAGGGTTGTGGCTCAGACAGGGTGGAGTGCTCACCTGGCATGCA